TAATGTTTATTTATTTTTGAGAGAGAGAGAGAGAGAGAGACCGAGCATCAGCGGGGGAGGGGCAGAGAGCGAGGGGGACACAGAATCCCAAGCAGGCACCAGGCTCCGAGCTGTCAGCACAGAGCCTGACGCGGGGCTCGAGCTCACGCACCATGAAATCATGACCTAAACCAAAGTCGGACACTTAACCGACTGAGCCACCCAGGTGCCCCTGAAATTCCGTGTTTCTAACAAACACCAAAATGATGCAGCTGCGGCTGGTCCGGGGACCACGCCAAGGGTTTCCTGAAGTGGCTTACTTACCGGCCACTGTGTGGCCGATTCTGTGGCCTCAGGTGGTTTCAGAGCTTCTCTGGGCTTCCCTTCTTCCTCTGGGAAGCATACAGGTCAACAAAGCTACACTGAAAGCATGCTCCTGTCAGGCTGCCCTGGGTGCTTGCTGGAAAAACAAAGGTGAATAAAACCACAGGCCTGGGAGGGCCTTGCAGACAGGGCGGCTTAAAAGTCCAATGATAATATTTAAAGATCCTTTGGATTCTAAAATGTCATGGCTCCCTGGCAGAAATAGAGCTGGAGGGGTTTCCTCTCCCAGAAAACACCTTTCCAAACATTAGGACAAGGATCCCCATCACCTACTGTTCTCAGGACCAGGGAATATTCCTCCACAAGTAACCCTAAAAGAAATTTAGTGCAAACTCCAGCTTGCCATTTAACAGACGGGAAAACTCGGGAGAGTGTTGGGTCCAGAGCAAGTTACTGGCTTTCCAGTTGTGCTTTCAAAGGTAGTGTCGTCCAATAGAAATAAAGCGTGAACCACACAGCATTTTAACTAAGCAATTTTAAATTTTGTGGTCGCCACATCGGGAAGAGTAAAATGGAACAGGTGATATTAATTTTAATACTCCATTAACCTAATGCCAAAAAGATGATCATTTCAGCGTGTGATCAAGAGAATAAAATTAGTAATGAGGTATTTTACATTCTTTGTTTTTATTGGACGAAGACTGAAATTCAGTGTCGGTTCGCCCAAAACACGGCTTAATTTGCATTAGCCACATTTCCAGGGCTCAGAAGCCCGTGTGTAGCCAATGGCTACCATGTTGGACAGTGAATATCCAAATGATGGCACCCTCCCCTAACCCAACTGTACAAACACAGCCCATCGGGACCAATTTTCCATTGGTCACTAGCATCTTTCTCATGATCAGTGGTCATTTTTTGTAGACACTGGCATTGTAGCTTTCCGGGGTCAAGTCGAATAGCATTCCATTTCTGGGAGGGACCTTCAGCGCAGCCTAATTTTTTTTTTTTTTTAATGTTTATTTTTGAGAGACTGAGAGAGCTCTAGCGGCGGGGGGTGGGGCAGAGAGAGAGAGAGACACGGAATCTGTCAGCACAGAGCCCGATACGGGGCTCGAACTCACGAACCGTGAGATCATGACCCGAGCCGAAGTCAGACACTTAACCGACTGAGCCACCCAGGCGCCCCCAGCACAGCCCAATCTAACTTGACATACGCCTTTATCGAACACCAGAAGGGGCCAAACAGCCTGCTGTGGGGCCCCGCGATGGCAGGCTGGCAGTCGGAACCCACGCCTCCACAGCTCCTTGCGTGTCCTGCTTGTAATCCGGTGCCGGCCACCTAGGAAGTGCCCGGAGAACCTTCTTCGTTCCTCCTCTTCGAGTTTTGCGCCAAACCGGCCTGTCCCCAGAGCACCGGCTCCATTAAAGTGAGATACGATGCAGAGCACGTCTGGGAGGAGGAAGTGTCACTTCCAGCTCGCCTGGTGGGTGCACCTCCCTGGGTCACAATCATTGCATAAGTGGTGGGTCCAGCCCCGAAAGCCACGCCGGCTTTCCCCAGGAGACTGGTGTGGAACCGAGGCATGTGCGTGCAGAAATGGCTTTTGCCATCCGACGAGTCAGGCCAGTTCTCGGGTGTTATCCCCAAAGTGCTTTTCTAGCGCAGCGCGACCTCAAGAAAAACCAGTTTCACCCACACCACACCTAGGATCACATGACGCAACCCGATCTCAGCGTCTGGTTGCATCAGTGTTTTCTGACGCCTCTGTCTTCTGCGCTGGCAGAAAGCTTTATAATGGGGAAGGAGAAAAAAAAGAAAAAAAGAAAAAAGAAAAAGGCTCGCGGGCTGAAATCTAAAAGTACTATGAGTATTTCTCCTAATTGGCCACACAGGGTGCTTGGAGAATAAACACCCAACGACCACGGAGGCCTGGCAAGCATCAGCACGCCATTTCCTGAAGGGGACTTGATGGTATATTTAAGCAAAATGCTTTTCTGGTTCGTTCTACTCCTGTTTTATATGAAAGCATCAAGGTGGAATCTCCGAACTCGTTTCTTAATGCGGGTCTATTAAGAAGAGGCTTTCAAAGGGTGTTTGTGTTCCCTGTCTTGACCTATCTGAAAAATCTCTGGAAAGTACCAGTTGGTTTCTTATTCCTAAAGTCGCTCCTGGCTCCCCGGACACGGAGACTTTTGACGGATCAAACCCCTTAGACTTGGGCCCCTTGGTTTCTCTGCTTTGCTTTAGACATTTGTTGCCTCCTGACTCCTGCTTCTTGCTCTGAGGATTAAAGGAATTAATTGCAAAAATCCTAGAACTCTTATCCATCTTTGGGAAGTTGTCTAAAGATGAAACTTCCCGGTAACAGTCTCTGCCTAAGACAAAAGGAAGCAGAGTTGAAAATCCTCGGTAGGACACCCTGTGCTATTCAGATCATATCATAGGAGGGGAGACTAGGACATCATCCCCCTCCCAGGATGAGCAAACAGAGCTTCTAAGAAAAATCAACCCTTAGTATGGCTCACCTGTAGTATGGTGCTACAGGATCTAGCTTTTGCCTACTTCCTCCGCTCTGGCCACACTGCTTTTCCCGTCCAGCCCCACTCTCCCTCCACACGGTCTTTCAAGGTCCCCGGACTTTTGTCTATACTGTTCCTCCTCGTGCCCTGGTCTTCGCATCACTGTTCGTCTGGCGAATCTTACCCACCCTCAAAGTCACTCGGCTTAACCTTCTAAAGGAGGCTTTCCCTGAACTCAGAAGAGGATGAATTTCCTTGCCATAAAGTTCCCACGCGGGTGTTACTCTGCAATGCTTACGTTGGAGAGGAGAGAGCTTTCCTCGACCTTCTTTAGGGTTCTAGGCTGGGTCCGAAAATCATGCCGACAAAGGCAGCTTCACGGGAGAAGAGCATACGCGTTTATTTTTGCTTTGAGTTTATTGAAGTCATCTCTACACCTAATGTGGGGCTCGAACCCACCATCCCAAGATGAAGAGTCGCACGCTCTACCGACTGAGCCAGTCGGGTGCCCCGTGAGTTTATGTGACATGAGAGCCTTCATGAGGATATGAAGACCGAGAGAAACAGACCCGTGCATTTCCCGTCATGTTTGATGGCGAGTGGACAGTGTTGGAGGACCAGCATAGGTCAAAGAGTATGATGCACGTGTAGGTGACTGGGGACACTAAGCAAAGGTCACTTATTGGGACTCTCCCTGGCGTTCTTTCGTCTTCAGAGAGGCTGTTCCTTTCCTTCTGGGATGTGGAGGGCACTTCTCACCTGAGGGCTTTCTGACCTGTTTTAGGGAAGAGGGGTTTGGGAGGGAGGGGGTTGGTGGGGG